CTAAACATTACCCATTGGTGAATGAGTGATGCGTAGCCAGAATACCCAAAACAGGAAGCTGTCATACACTCTGGCAGCTATCATAGCAGCTAATATGAAAACTCCGGTATTGACATAAAAATTGAATGATGGATTATCAGGAATCATTTCAAAGTGACAGACACATTGGATTAACCTATGGATTAACCTTCAGCAGCGTTTTTATCGTTGTAATGCCATTGAACACAACTTTTGATCAGAACAGCAAATGGTAAGACTTATTTTCCGATTTGGTCCCGTAAAGCTCAGTGATGATACTTATATGTCTGGAATCTGTGGAATCTCAGCTTGCTAATCGATATCTTGTTTGTGCAGATCCGATAAGTAATAAGTGTATTTTACCTTGAGTTCTGTGCTAAGTGCGTTAGCATTTTTTCGCTCAGGGCTAATTCAGACCCTTGTGTTTCGTTTAGCTAAAGATTGTTAATAGTGTCTGAAAGCTGAGTTTCTTCCCGTTGAGTGGGTATGACACATTCATAGCTTGTTAAGAAGCCCTCAGACGCTGCTTCTTGTGTTGTTGTTGCATCATGCCATGGGGCTTCACCGGTTAAAGGAGGGATAAACACTACAGTTTGATTCAGGCCCTGTTATCTTTAAAGGAAGTGTCTGTCTCTTTAAATATACCCAATAAAGCTCACCTCTCCTTCCTGGTGGGCGTGTCCTCCTTCTCCTTCTCCTTCTTTAACTCTTTCAACCGGGCCTCCGCTTTCTCCTTCTCTTTCCTCTCCCGCTCTTTCTCCCGTTCGAGTTTCTCCTTTTCCTTTTCCTACAAGAACACAAAGAACGGCCGTAGTTTCAGAACTCAGACTCTCGTGTTCGACTGAACATCCGGAGGTTTGAGCCGTACCTTTTGTAGTAGTTTGTCCCTGTAGTGCTCCACCTGCTCCTGAATACTCTGCCCCGTCTTCTTGGGTCTTTTCCCGGACTCCAGCTCATCTTGGAACTTCATGACTTTAACCTGAGTGATGAAGACAATGAAGATATTTACGTCGTGTCATACGCCGTCAAAACACTCGACATGACGGCGCTAAATAAAGTACCTCTATCTCTCTGAGCTTGGTGCGTTTCTCCTCGTTCATTTCAGACATCTTGGCTTTCACATCAGAGTCGTCTCTGGAGGGGTTGAAGTAGGTCCCGTTGTCCTCTGAGCGGGGGCTCCTGTCCTCGTAATCACTGTCATGATCGTTCCTGCAGAGGTGGAACCAGTTCATAAATAAGATTAAAATGTGTTCTTTTGATTTTCAATAATACTCAAAACGTAGCAAGACTCACTTTTTGGATTCTTCTGGCTGCTCAAATACCTCCCATTTTGAAGTTGTCACAGCTAAGGAGCAAAGAAAGACAGGATATTCAAACAAAGTATGCACACATCAGAACAAGAGACAGATATCAGGTATGAACTCGAGTCAAGTTGTTAAAACGAGTAGTCTCACCTTGAGCTTCTAACTCGGCTTCATCCACCGCTTCCCATTTCGACGGTGCTACCTTGAAAGTTGCCTCCTTGGATGGATCCACTGTGAAAAAGAAAAAACAACATATTGAGTCACTGTGCGAGAGCTGCATCCAGTCGAACATGTGGATCATTCAAACACACAACATTAGGATGGAGCACATTCGGTTGCTTCATTAAGGTTTGGGAGACGTATCAATCATAATTTAATTAAAGAGCTCTGCTGCTGCTTGTAATTCTTATTTTTGTCTGATGTTGGGCAATCCATCCCCAGTTCTTTGTTGGTAGTGGGTTACCCGTGGTCTTTTTGTTATGTCTACGATGCTGTCGACTGGCAGCTTTAGACTATTCTCAGGAATTGTACCTTTTCTTTTATTCGTTTTTGCTCAGATGTTTTCATGTAGACCCGTGTGAAAAACATGTTCAAATTGTAATTCATACCCAGCTTTTTCCCCCCTCTTGTACGCCATGGAACGGTTTCGGGTACCTACTTACTGTAGATTGTAGGAGCTCCAACAAGCCGTTTAGGACAGAGAGTGAATACACAGACTATACAGAGATGTTGTTTGAGAAACCAATGTGAGTTTGGAACATTGCACAGTTTAAATCTATTCTAGACCTCAACAATGGAAATATGATCAGTAGAAATGGCCATGACATGGGACCTTTAACTTAAAGACCACTATAATCTAATTTGACCTTGAGTTAAGGACTGTAGGTTAAGATTAAATGTAGAATGAATAAGATCCCTGAATTTTGTTCAGTTCTGAATGACTTGATCAAAAACGACATGCTTAATCCTTGTTGTGGATCTCAAATAGTTTGTTTACTATTGACTTATTGATGTCACTTTTTATGTCTTATCAGGGGTTTCCAACGTTTTAAAAGGGCCTACTCACAGGAGGCTCAACAAATGGAATTGAAATATTGCTATTTTGATTACATCTTAAATATTCTAATCACATAAAATAGCCTAAATGTGTTTAATTGGTTAAGGGGAAACTCCAGAGATACAGAGGTTTAGGATTTACCTTTTAGCCACTTAGTGCAAGTTAGAAACAAATACATGCCTTAGGTCAGACTCTTATTAAATGTACTTTGTGCAATCTGAGCTAAGGTTGAATGGCAATATTGAATCATTTGATTCAAGTGTGTTTACAGGATCAAACTATAACCATCATCTAAAGGCATCCATGAATTGTTAAAAATTAGCAGTTAAACTAAGCTCTGTGTTAAATATGTGCCTTAGCATCCTGTGGTACTTTTACAGAATTAAAAGGGACATTTGTTTCGAGTAGTAGTAAGACATTTTCACTTCCGCATAAAAAAGCCTCCGCACGTGACCTCCCGCGTGTGACGTAACATGGGGGAGAGCGGCCGGTCTAACGTATGAATAAACATGGATCACAATGCTAGTTTTGACACAGAAGAGGTTGAAAAATATATATTCGAATGCATATGATTATAATTATGAGCCTGCTAGGCGTCCAAGAGAACAGGAGCAGCCAAGGATTAGAAGAAATAACGGCCATCGGAGAGAAATTGAGCTGTGGTGTGAGGAGAACCNACCCTGGATCAAGATTGATGCAAAACAAGTGACATTTGACCTTTTTAGAGAGATTTAGAAAAAAAAAACACTTCTGGGGTCATTCGATGGAAAATCCAACCGAATGACCCCAGAAGTGTTTTTTTTTTCTAAATCTCTCTAAAAAGGTCAAATGTCACTTGTTTTGCATCAATCTTGATCCAGGGTACTTATTATATGTTATAGTTTGGATTCCTAAAGCTTTTAGTCTACTAACCCATCATTCAAGGGTGGTTTTCACTATAAGTAATGTTTTCTTTTTGGACGGACACTATAATTTACATGTTTTTACTGTGTTCAATCTGAATTTACTTTAAAATAAAAATAAATCTATATCGATTCTGACTTTTCTACATCCAACTCTTTCTTTGAGAAAAAAGATTATTAATTTACCCCTTTTAGAAGTGAAGATATGGTCATTTGTTCTGGGAATGTCACTTTCGAGCCTGAGGCCTTAAAAACAGGCTCGGGGCTTTTTACAGATAATGCTGGCATCTTTTTGAAAAACCTGTAAACATTGTGATTGTATTTTGAATGACTTTTCCTGGATTTTCTTTTTTAAATATTGCTTTTTCTTTCACTTTTTCACCACGATAGCATGCTTTATTCCATTAACAACAACCAAAAGCACTTATTCCCTTCATGTTATTCCAGTGCAGCACATTTTCCTCTTGTTCTCCGTCCCTTTTCAAAGGTCACATGTGCTATCTGCACTTTAGGAAACCCTCATAGTGCAGACTTTGTGTCCTTACGTTGCTCTGCAAATATGATTGTAGTGGCACGTCCTGATAATCTCTCTCCATCGATAATCCGTATCAATCATCCGTTCCAAGCCGTCCATCAGGATTTTCTACCGATTTTTAGGGATAGGCAAATCCCCTCTGGCAAGCAGGCCTGAAAATACCTAATTATTTCTCATAAGCATAAAAAATACTGCATGAAAACATTTCAATAACTCAAACTGGATTAGTGTCATTGTGCATTCAAGGGCTCGCTCTCGTTCTGACCCTTTAATTAGGTTGTCGGCTGGCTCCATCCACTGTAAAGAATAATTGTTATCCTCAGCCTTCCCCAGCATTCAGCCAACAAAGAGCTTTTATAAGACTTACTTTGATGCTGCCATGTGACCGTTGTTTGGAGGTCTTTGTAGGTTAATGGAAGGATAATCGGCACTATTTGATCTCTGTTGAGTTGTAGCTGGTATTAGCCCGTGTTGTGGTCCATCGTTTCTGTTTTTATTTTCTGCATCTCATCTATCCTTTATTCTGAGCATTTGCTTCAGAGCTGACTTTAATTAAATCCAGCACTATAACTGTGAAGGTAAATGCAGAAATGTTCACATAACTGAAAAGATAACAACTGCAACCTTGTACAGGATTAACGTAGGGATGATGTACAGCTAGGCGGTAAATAATAAAGAGCAACGCTGGTACATTATCTCGTTCATCCATCCATCTTCTCCCGCTTATCCGTGGTCGGGTCGCGGAGGTATCAGTTCCAGCAGAGAGCCCCAAACTTTCTTTTCCCTGGCCACATCAACCAGCTCTGACTGGGGGATCCCAAGGCGCTCCCAGGCCAGCGAAGAGATATAATCCCTCCACCTGGTCCTAGGTCTACCCCTTGGTCTCTTCCCAGCTGGACGTGCCTGGAACACCTCCCTAGGGAGGCGCCCAGGTGGCATCCTTACTAGGAGCCCGAACCACCTCAACTGGCTCCTTTCGACGCGAAGGAGGAGCGGTTCAACTCAGAGTCCCTCCCAGATGACTGAACTTCTCACCTTATCCCTAAGGGAGACACCAGCCACCCTGCGGAGAAAACCCATCTCGGCCGCTTGTACCCGCGATCTCGTTCTTTCGGTCATGACCCATCCTTCATGACCATAGGTGAGGGTAGGAAGGAAAATGGCGCGGTAGACNGCAATACGGTCATTTTTAAACCGATAAAACCATTTTAAATCAACATTGAGAGTCAAGTCGTTGGTTTATTGAGTATTTAACCGTGAAATAAACAAGATAATGTACCAGCGTTGTTCTTTATTATTTAACGCCTAGCTGTACATCATCCCTACGTTAATCCTGTACAAGGTNTACCGCGCCATTTTCCTTCCTACCCTCACCTATGGTCATGAAGGATGGGTCATGACCGAAAGAACGAGATCGCGGGTACAAGCGGCCGAGATGGGTTTTGAAAACCCATCTCGGCCGCTTGTACCCGCGATCTCGTTCTTTCGGTCATGACCCATCCTTCATGACCATAGGTGAGGGTAGGAAGGAAAATGGCGCGGTAGACAGAGAGCTTTGCCTTCTGGCTCAGCTCCCTTTTCGTCACAACGGTGCGGTAAAGAGACTGCAGTATCTCGTTTATTACATGGTTAAATACTCAATAAACCAACGACTTGACTCTCAATGTTGATTTCAAATGGTTTTATCGGTTTAAAAATGACCATATTGCTTCTGATAAGTTTCTCGATGTTGAAGAAACTAATGTTTTGTTGTCCACAGCCGACGTTAAATCGACCGGACTACTTTCTGCGGATTGATATGACTGCACATAGTCCCTAGATCCTCCTTAGCAATGGACTGTTAGCGAGAATTAACAGACCTCTGTCCAACTTGACCAATCAGAATTGAGTATTCAACTTGTGTGTGTAGTTAAGAATTGATGGGGAAACCATGGATAGGCACAGCACAAATATTCTATACTTAAGGCGCGTTCACACCAAGTACTTTTCCCACAAAGGTTGCTGAGAACTACGATTTAGTTGCGTTCACACCAAAAAGTCCCAGGAACTAAATTAGTTCTAGAGAACCTTTTTTACCCCCTTTTCAGTCCCTGCTAGAGAGCAGGGACTGTCGTGGGAGAAAAAGGTTCCTGTGTCTGATTGGCTGGGCGGAATGCAAACCACGCCTCGTCAAACTCCCAAAAACTTTTGTGAAGCCGCCATTTTATTATCCTTGCATTGCATTATTAGCATTAGCATTAGCCCAGCGCAGAAACGCAGAGAGACTAACTTATGTCAACACAAAATAAAACATGGGAGCGGTGGAGATGCGGAGGTTCTGGCCGTTTACTCGGAAGGCTTCAGTTGAAGCTGCTGGGAGTCCCAGCAGCTTCTACTGAAGCCAGTCCCCAACTCCGGGGACTTTGGGCGGCAGTATACGCCGTGAAGTTGTTTGCGGCCTGCCAGTAAACCCAAAGCAAAAGAAGAAGAAGTGACGTCAGCGGCTTCATTTGCCTAATCCACCCCCAGGAACTCATTTCCGGTGTAAACGCGATCTGTACTTAGTTCTCAGGAACCTTTGTGGGAAAGTACTTGGTGAGAAAGCGCCTTATGC